AGTCTATCCGTCTATGGGATGTCAAAACAGGATAATAACAAGCCAAATTAGATGGTCATACTAGTGCTGTCATGTCAGTCTGTTTCTCTCCTGATGGAAATACATTAACTTCTTGTAGTAGAGATAATTCTATCCGTCTTTGGGATATTAAGAACGGGAAAGAAATTTAATCAGCTGACAAAAATTATAAAGACATACTTGCATAATTTTAAGCGCCACTTATTTAAAAACATCTTCTACTAAGTATTTATTTGATTATTATTTTTTAGAATCCAACAATATTACAAGTCTAAGAATATCTCAAATACCATTATTTCAAGCAAAAGGAGCTTTAATCTTGAAAGGAGATTTTGTAAATTATGAAGGATACGATCTAAGATCAGTATTAAAATCAAAAGGTAGTTACTTTATAGAAAACTTAAATTAAATGTGAACATGCATATTCATTAATAACATTACAATTATTATTCCAATCAATATCTAATTTTTTTATTTTTTCTTTATCAGATTCTACATCTTCACTTCTAAAGCTAGGTAAGTTCTTTTTTTTTAAAGTTTTTTTTGATTTCAATTATATACACCAAATTTATTTTAATATTATTAAAATCTACTAATAAGGTTAGTGTAGGGATTATTTATTTATTTATCATAAAGCATTTTATCAGTTAATATTTATAGAGATTTAATTATAAATGCTACTACTTTAAATTAATAAACAGAGAACAGTAAGCTAAATTAGGAGATTAAAAGAAAGATTGATATAATTACTTAAAGAAAACTAATTTAATACAAATTCTTTTATAATTTATAGGATATAAAATGAGATGTTTACTTAATTTAATATTTTTTATAATAGGGATTAATATAAAATAGTAAATTCAAAATTTTGTAAGATTAATTTTAATTCATAAATAGTAAAAGATATAAGTAAAAAAGATACTTCAAGAATTCAAAAATAAAGTTAATCTTATAAATAATCTAACACAAAGTTAAAACATTGAGATTGAATGATTTTTAAAATTACTCTACTCTATTCTTGCTAATACCTTCATAACCTCTTCAATTGATATTAAAAGTATTAGATAGTATAAAAGACTGTAAATGTATATTAATGATCAAAAAGTATTATATCGTTGAAATTTTTTAGATTTATGGAGATAATTATATCTTCTCAAGCCGCCATCTAAGAATCTTAATTACTGATTAACTTAAGCACATCCATCCAATGGAGCAACTTTAAACAATTATTTTCAAAATCTATAAATAATATAAGTTTTTAAACCAAAAACATAATAGACACAGCTTTTAAAAAGTCGGTTTTTTATGAGAAATTAATGTCTAGGTAAAAATATTACTTAAAGCAGCTTACCATCTGCTTCTGCATATTGAAGTATAATTTGAGTTCATCAAAATAAAAAATTTACAGTTAAATTAGCACATTAAGAAATTACCTGAATTTCTGAAGAACCAAACCAATAATTTTTTATTTTGCAAATTGCAAATTGCATCAAAATATATTTAGTAATAAAAGAAAAACTATAAATTGAAGAAGAATATGTTAAATAAAATCCAATTACTCTTTTCTAAAAGAAAAAAAATAATGAAAAATATATTTATAAAAACATCAATAAAACATTAAATTCATTAATAACTAATAACATTTTGAGAGTTTTCCTAAATTATAATCTCTAGAATTCTTTCTATAACAATATCTCTGTGATCATAGATCCAGTAAATGGTGTATTCCTGCATAATAGCACGTAGAATATGATTTCGCAGGACTATAAATCACATTTTTCATCATATTAATGGTTCAATACTTCTGGAGCAACATAAAAGGCTAGCTATAAGGATGAATCTAAAAGTTCCAACATCTTTACTCATGGATTTATTTTTGACAAATTTGGATTCACCAACATCTATTAGCTTTAACTATAAATTCTGTTTTGTTAACAAAAATAACAGTTTCTGGCTTTATATCTCAGTGAACAACATATTTCTCATAACAATATATATTAGCTAAGGATATCTATCTAATATAATTAGCTGCAAAAATTTCAGTAAAGCATGCCTGTATCTTTATCCTTCTAAAAGTTCTCCTTATAAATTTAATAAATATTGATAATTAGTGTTGAAAAATAATTTTTGTAGCTTGATAAAGTTGAATAATTTAAAAATGTTAGGATACTTTAATTTTTTTAAATCTTGTTCATCTATCAAAACATTTGTTATTTATCTTCGTTTAATATTGAGCTTTTTTGTCTCTCATTGCTCTAAAAAGATTTGTAATCATATGAGTGACTTTTCAAACGTATCCAAAGAATCCTTAATTTCTCTGAAAATAAATTAAGACCATATTCTCTCAATTAAAGGAATTAAGGATTGGAAATGAGACATTCCAGTTTGATTCAAATTCTTTAATACTCAAAGGATTTTTTAAAAGTTACCTCAATTAATTTTGATTAATCCTCCAAAACTAATTAATGGCATCAAAATTTATTTATTTATTCATAAAAATATAAGTAAAAATCATATGAAAACTGATAATAAATGAATAAGAAATCAATTATAATCAGATACTGAAATATCTAAAGTTAATGCTTAAAACTTTTATATAATGGTATTTAATATTTGAAGTTAAGTGCAAATTAATGGACTCTATATCCTAATTTAAAAAGCAAAAGTAAAAATTGGAAAAAACTATGTAGATAGGTCAATCATTATTAGGCATTCTAGTAAGGTAATTGGTGAATAATTTATTATATTTTCTGGTATGAAATAGAAAGTAGATAATTTATTTAAGAGTTTGATTAATATCCTACTAGATTGATATGTAAATTGCCATTTAATTGAGGCTCAGATAAAAGAAATAATTATTAGTGATTTTAATTTACTAAACAATTAGAATTGCATTTCTTAGTCAAACTAAAAAGGAAAAGTATTTTCTTTAAGTTATCTCCTTCAAAAGTTCTCATTATAATTGATTTATATTTGTCTAATCTTAGTTCTCGGGTTCTCAATCCAGAAAAGTTTATTTCTATCTAAATAAAACTTATTCTCTCGTTTTCCTATAAACTCCGTCATTAGATATAAGACAGAACCACTATTATTCCTTTACTCCAATAGAAATCCTTACTCTCCTACCTTCTCAAAATTCTAAATAAATAATTGAGTTTTTAATTTTGATCTGTGTTTAAATCATTAAAATTTTTAAACTTACTCTGCAGCTGAAAATTGATTTAGTTATTACTAATTGAATATTCATTTAAATAAAAATAAAAGATAAAATGGAAAGAAATGAAAAATAAATAGTCTTGATGCTGATAATGTGATTTACTTGATTAATAAACATTGCAGATAAGTTGACATCAATAGTCCAAAATACGATTTTCTCAAAAGAGGTAAATAAATTAGTAGAGAATAAAATCATTAAATCAACTCAAAGGAAAGTAATGCGAAATTTATAAAGATGATACAATAATTATATAGCAAAAGTTAAGTAATCAACAGAAGATGCTTTTAAACTAAAATATTCTTTAAATCAATGTCTATAATCATAAAAATTTTTGATAGGTAATTTAAACCAAAACTAAAACTCTTGAAATATGAACAATAAGAGATTAAATAATAAATATATATAAATGAGACTATTATTCAATAGAGATGAATATAAAGATGTGGGTAATAGATGGGAATGTTGATAATTCCTATTTCAGGAAAATGAAAATTTCAATAATTTCTTCAATACTATATGAAAGAAATATAAGTATTTTTATTTTATAAACAAATTACCCTTCAGGTTGATTTACTTTGGCACTTTTATTTGGAGAGAAAGAACTCATTTTATCTTTTTTTATGATTAACTGAATCTAAAAATGAAAAATTATTAGTCTTTGATAGTATTTTTATTTTGTTTTATCATTTTTGAAAGTTAAGATAGAAAAATGATTCTGTTGTAAATAAGACCTAAATATATTAAATTGCTAAAAAAATAATATTGATTAATTCTTATTAAGTAAAAAATAAGAAGCTCATGTAAATGAGAATTTCAAAAGAGAAATATATCATTATGATTCAATCTCAAGTTATCTAAAGGAAATGATAAAGGGTGGATATTTTAAAGTAATTAATAATAGTGTAAGATAGATTATTAAATAATAGAAAAATAGTTTGAATAAAAAAGAATTCGAAAATTTTTTTCTCAAAGAAATCATCAGATTTCTCATAATAAAACATAAAATTCTTATGACTCTAAAACCATAATACAAATTAAAATGATTAATTATTCCTAATTATATTAAGAATAAGATTTATTATAATTTAAATTAAAAAAGATACAAATGTTTCTTAGTCAAAATTTAGAACATGAAGGAAGTTCAATTATCGGTTTTTGCCTTTCTGCTGATTGTCAGGAACCTAAGTCGCAATTTTTTGCATTAATTGTTTAATCAATCCCCAAAAACATTTATATTGTAGAATTGACTGTAAGCCATTTGATAAAATCGATACACTACTAAATTTAATTCTATATAAGTTAGATAAAATGCTAGAATAGACTGATTAGAAGTTTGAATAGTTAAAGTTAGAGTATGAAACACAATCAAAATTAATTAAAAAGAATAGCAAAGGTTTTTAGGAGATAGTCAAAAACTTGAAAGAATAAAAATTCAAGGAATTTCTTGATAATATTGGCAAAATAATTGGAATACAACAATAAAATCGACTTAATTTGAGAAAGAAATTATTGATCTCTGTATTCGTAATGTGTTACTATTAGGGTTGAAACAAGGAATCGAATTAAAAAGATCAAATGTTAAATTTATAATAATAAACTAGAAGGAATACTAAAGCGCTTTTGTAAAATTTGGGAAAGTTTTAAAAGAAGACGCAAATAATCCTTTGGCAAAATTTTATTAATGTAAAATATAATAAAAATAAGATGTTACATTATTTATTAATTAAATTAATTTCTTATTAATGTAGAACAACAATTATAAATCTTTTTAATTGTTAAATTATAAAGAGAATATCCAAATTTTTAAGAATAAGCTCTAATCATTGTATAGGAAAAATTAAGAAATAAAGGCAATAATATAGTTGCATTGATATTATAGGTATATTGTATGATATAATTGGATAAAACAAAAAAAAAAAGATATTAATCCAAACATTATGATATATTGTGATACTATTTTAGGTTTAGATAAATAAATTGTTTTTGCTCATGGATGAAAGTATAAATTTAAATAATTAATAGTAAAATCATTATGTGAATAGAAAAAATATTAATAAGCGATTATGAGTGCTGAAGAAGGTTTGATGGTGATTAACAACAATAGTCATTTACATTGTATAAAAGGTGAAAAAGAATAATTATGATAAGGTTTTGTGTTATTTAAAAAAAAAAAATGAATTATATATCAACTAAATTAATTGTAAGATGCAATGGATTTTTTTGATAAAGTCATTTCATTTGATCTAAATAATGTTGATGCCTATAATAAAAAAGGTTTTATCCCCATAATTGAATTTTAGGCATTAGTTTCAAGTGAAGTAAAATGATCGATACTGTCATACGCAATATTGAAATAATATGAATAAGCAATAATCTGCAATGATCAATCCATTTCAAATTGATTCAAAATATGTTAATGCCTATAATAACAAAGGTATTATTTATTTTATTATAGCAATTTCCTTATTTTTTTTTTTTTTTTAAAGATATAATGTTTGAACCAAATTATATAATCTATAAAAAATTTCTTAAATTGCATTAACTCTGAACAATCCATTTTCACATCAAATTTCTTAAATCATCACCAAACTAAGAACAATGTTATAATCATGAAAATCAATCAAAATATAACAAATTAATTA